GGGTGGCTTTTCAAACTTACACTGAGGGCTCACTTTTTAATTATATGAGAGTTGGCTTTTTCCCCTTGTATTGAGGCGTGGCTTTTCCAATTATACTGAGGAGTTACTTTCCTCCATATATTGAGGCGTGGCTTTTCTACTTATGCTGAGGAGTTACTTTCCTCCATATATTGAGGCATGGCTTTTCCACTTATACTGAAGGGTAGCTTTTCCACTTATATTTAGGGGTGGCTTTTTTCCTTATACCGAGGCATTGCTTTTCCCCTTATATTGATGTGTGGCATTTTTGTCAAACTGCAGTTGTTGTTTTTTTTTTGTGTATAATTGGGTGGCAAAAAGCTTGAGCGGTACCAACGCTAGTTACGCCCCAGAGTTTTATGGATGATTTCCCCCCCCCAACTCCAATGGATGTGGATGCTCCCCCCCCCCCCCAATTCCAATGGATGCTCCCCCCCCCCCTAATTCCAATGGATGATTTCCCCCCAAATTACAATGGATGATTTTTCTGTAATTTCAAGGGATAATTTCCCCTTAATTTTAATGGATGATTCCCCCCCCCTCCTAATTCCAATGGATGATTCCCCCATTATTTCAGCCGATGTTTTTTTTTAACCTACCACATCGACTCGTCTCTATTGACAGCAAAAGAAGAAACAGGCAGCACACCCTGGCAGAAGATGCCCTCAACATCCGGCGGATGACCAAACGCAGTGTTGTTAGTAATGTCAGTCATACGAAGGCGTAGCATGAAGCTCATGATGGACGGCGGCGGACCAACAAGTGTCAAGATCTAGTCGGGGGTGGGGGGGGTGCTGTATTTGATGAAATATCGCATACATGTTCAATGAAGCCATTTTGTGCTTTCCCGGGTGGGCGGGGGAGGGGGCGCGGGGGCGGGGGATTAAGGTATTTCCATTAAAATTTCAGTAAATGTCAGTGCTGTTTATTCTAAGACAGCGATTCTCAAACTGTGGGTCGCGACCCATTTGGAGGTCGCACGACCCTTTCCCAGGGGTCGCATAAGACCATCGAAAAACACATATACTCTACAGTTATGAATTAGCAACGAAAATAATATTTATTTATTTTTTATTTATTTATTTTTTTTTGGGGGGGGGAGGGGGGGTCGCAACAACACGAGGAACTGAAATAAAGGGTCGCGACATTAGGAAGGTTGAGAACCACTGTTCTAAGACCTTCGAATACGAAATGTTTTTAACGCAACATCCGCCATTGACAGGCGTCATCACGTGGCATGTACACGGAGATCAATTCAAACAGGGAAGAGTCACGTATAGAAGAGAGCTTAAATCTGATCACAGGCGGAGCTGTCAGAGAGAAGATAAGGGGATGATGTTTTTTCTTTTCTGGTGGGCTCACTTAGTTCCAAAGCCACGTGGGAAAGAAGAAACTTGATCAGTAGCCAGCGGTCAGTAGCCAACAAGCGGCCAGTGTCAGTAACCAGCGGTCAGTGTCAGTAACCAGCTGTCAGTGTCAGTAACCAGCAGTCAGTGTCACTAGCAGTCAGAGTCAGTAACCAACGGTCATTGTCAGTAACCAGTGTTCGGTGTCAGTAACCAGCGGTCAGTGTCAGTAACCAGCAATCAGTGTAAGTAACCAGTAGTGAGTGTGAGGAATCAATCAGTGGTCAGTGTCAGTAACCAGCGGTCAGAGTCAGTAACCAGTGGTCAGTGTGAGGAATCAACCAGTGGTCAGTGTCAGTAATTAACCAACGGCTAGTGTCAGTAACCAGTGAGCAGTGTTAGAGATGAACAAATTGTTTGGTCAAGTATTTCTTATCTTGTACAGATGTATTCTATTACTTAAGTCAAACTTTGACAAATCTTATTCTTTTCTTATTTGACTTTTGATTAAAAGTTAAAAACATGTTGCTGCTCTTTTGAATTTGTAAACTGGCATGGTTGTATGAGGGAGTGATCATTAACCAGTAGCCCCGTAGTGTACAACAACTCACAAAAGCTCTATTGCAATCGGCTGAATCTTATATGAGCGCATACATAAATACACTAATTTTATATAGATATATTTGCGCAACTATTCAAGGAAGTGTTCTATCATCTATCTATCTATCATCCATCCATCGATCCATCCACCCATCCATCCATCCATCTATCCATCTATCGATCCATCCATCCGTCTGTCTGTCTGTCTGTCTATCTGTCTATCTATCCATCTGTCCATCTGTCCGTCTATCCGTCTATCCATCTGTCTGTCTGTCTGTCTAATCTAATCTAATCTAATCTAATCTAATCTAATCTAATCTAATCTAATCTATCTATCTATCTATCTATCTATCTATCTATCTATCTATCTATCTATCTATCTATCTATCTATCATCTATCTGTCACCTACTTATCTATCTATGTATCTGTCACCTATCTATTTATCTATCAATCTATTTATCTATCATTTATCTATCATCTACCTACCTAAGAAAATCTTAACCCATCTCTAGTTTGAAAATTAAATTTTCACTTGTGTTAAATGATTGGGTTTTGACATACATCGGTAGACTTATGTAAATGTACCTAAGTTTTTTTTTTAACGTCATTGATTTTCTTAATTTGTAAACATATGTTCATTTGTAAAATGTGAATATAGCATCTATTTTTCATTATTTGATTTAAAGATATTTCGTCCACGTAAAATTTACACACCCTATTTCCTACCCCCGATATATACAGTATGTACCTTAGAGGGTAAATTATTATCAAATGAAAGTATCGTATTACCCACCCACACCCCCCCCCTCCCCCACACAGAGTTTTTAAAAATTCATAAAATTCATCCACTGGGATTGTAACCCCCTTACTTATGCAAAAACTTTTATTTTTTTTTGCATTTCATATGCTTTGTTCTTATTTGGATGAGCTAAAAGTGCATTAGCGAATGCTTTTTGAATTTGGCTATGTAGTTGATTTAAGAAAAAGTAAAAACTTATTAAATGTTAAAAATACAAAGCTAAAGTTGTATTTAATTAAAGCGAATTTTAGCCATTTAAAAAGCAATCAATTATATTTATTAATTTTACTTTCAAGAAGGGGAAATACGTTATCAGTTTTGTCACGCATGGTTATTTAACCAAAGAAACTTTGAGTTGTGGCAAAAATAGGCAATCGCGCTATGACGTCATTTGCGTATTTATTTAGCTCAAATTCATTTTATTTTTATTTCGCAATCTTAACATCGCACTAATTATTAAACGCACTAAAAATAACAGTTAGTTTTTTCCCGATAAATGTAATTACGATGCAATCCTGAGATCATAATTTTTTTTTTTATGAATATTTTTCATAACTTTTACATTCCGATAAAGTGCTTAAAATAGTTCCATAGTTTGACTTTAAATGTAATATAATAATAATTCTTAAACTTGCACTAAAATAAAAGCGGATGTATATAATATATTTTGCGCATTTAAATTTATTCGATTACCGTAAAATAATAGAAAAATAACTGATTGTTTTTAAGAATCAGAACGTATCTAAATATTTTCGGTGCGTTGGCGTTACGGTCAGCCTAGCTCATGCTTATATATATATATATATATATATATATATATATATATATATATATATATATATAT